GAGTAACATACAACTCGGTTGGATGTAGAAATCTGTCTTACCCTATAAGGTAGTGAAAAGACACAGGAATAATAGAAGGGGAGGTGGGGGGATAAAAGGTAAGACATATTGGGGAAGGTGGTGATCAGAAGTAAAACACTAGTGGGAGGGAAAGGGTGTGGGTAAAAGAGAGAGAGAGGGATAAACTTAATAAAAGTTTTTTTAAAGTGTATTATGTGCTAGGTTCTTTTCTAGGCCCTAAAGGTACACAGACAAAAAAAATGTAAAATAATCCCTGTCCTTAAGGATCTTCTATTGTATTGCAAAATTACAACATGTAAACAGTTAAGTAAGTACAAGAAAATTTAGGAGGGACAGAGCACTAATAGCTAGTAGAAGCAGGAAAGGCTGTGAGTAGAAAGTGGCAACTGAATTGACCCTTAATAAAAGCTAAGGATTCCAAGGGGCAGAGTTTAGTAGAGAGTACATTCTGGGCAAGGGAGACAGCTTGTGCAAAAGCATGGAGGCGGGTTTTGTAATACCAAGTTTGGCAGATATCAAGTATGCCAGTTTGATTGGAAAGGAGAGTTTGTTATATATGAAATAAATCTGGAAAGTTAACCTAGAATCAGATTGAGAAGAATTTTAAATGCTAAACTAGGGAATATTGTAAGGTATCTTAAACTTGTTACTGGCTGTATATACATCTACTGTAGCAGAGGTAGTTACTGCTCTACCGAGGAGATATAGTTACTCGGTCTTCACCTTCATGTAGGTGTGCCACTCTTTCCCAGTTCCCCCTTTCAGGCACGATGTTCTCTCTAGTCAAAGCTACTTGCTCTTACCTCTGGGGGAATGGTTTTCCTTTCAAACATACTCAGGAAGGATAGGGAACATATGAAGTGCTAGAAGCCAATGCCTCAATTTCAAATCTCTCACCATGAGGACTAAGTCTGTTCCTAGGAGAATCCGAGTTTACTTGTTTCTTGCTTTGGGAAAGCTGCAAATATATGAAATGATAATTCTTTTTTGCTCAGTTTATATCAACATATCCACATATAGGGAGTTAGGAAGGTCCCAGTGATTAGACAAATATACTTTTCTCACTGACTCTTTGACTCTGTGTGTGTGTGTGTGTGTGTATCTCTCCATGTAGGCTGCATTTATACCAAACACATACACACACACACACACACACACACACACACACACACACACACACACTAGACTTTAGATAATGTTTTAAAGTTTGAAAAGTGATTTTCATTCGATCCTTACAACAACCCTGTAATATGGGGGCTATTATTATCACCCTAGTTTTACAGATAAAGAAACTGAGGCTGAGGGATGTTAAGTGATTTGCCCAGGGCCACAGAGATGAGATTTGAACTCAGGTCTTCCTTACTCCAAGTCCAACCACTGTGTCACATAGAACACAAACCAGTAATACAATGAACAACTATATTATGTTAGAGAAACCAGTTTGCTTTTTAAATAAAAATAAACTTAAGAAACAAAGCTTGGAGATACAAACTCATTGTTATTTTGGGAGAGTGAGAGAGTCGGAGTCATGCAAATGACAGGAAAGTATGGCACCATCATTTGGGTTCTCAGCAACATGAATGGAAAAACTCTACTTTTTTTCCTTATGGCTTCCAAATTACTGGGATTTGAAGAGAGACAGTGAGATGGAAAAAGAGGTCAAACTACCTCAATGCCAGAGTTTTAGTCTTTCTTCAAAGTGTCTGTTGGAGCATCTTTGTCACTACAATTTCCAGAATGCTGCTTACACCATGCTACAATTACTTTTTCTTCCTGGAGTCTGTTATCCTAGTGTTAACTCTCTTTGTTGAGATTTTCCTTCCCAAGCTCTCATCCTTCTCCCCCAAGTGAGTGAGACTGTCTGCTTGGATTATAATTCCCAGAAGTCCATGCAGCCAGTACTTAGAGTTCCTGCTTATCCTTAGGGAAATTTGTTTGAATACCCCTACCACCCAACCTCTCTCTGTCCCTCCTCTCCCACTCCCTCCCCTTGACTCTTCCTTTCCTCGGTCAGGTAAGTAAGTAGTTCAAAATCTTCCTTCTGGCCCAAGTTTTTAATCTTAACTAATATTTTATTTTTTTCCTCAAGCAGTACTTTAAAAATAGAATGGAATAGTTTGAAAAGTAGCTAAGGAAGCTTGGAGACTCTACCTTAGAAACAAACAAACTAATAGAATGCCAGGAAAAAAATGTGTTCCCTGATTTTCTGTTTTGTTTGTTTTGGTATATTTCAAATTTTCCATGGTTAGTTCAACACTGCCCTGTTTGTCTAACACCCTCCTTATTAACATCCTTCTCTTCTTCTTTTGTTTATCTTTTTAATGGTTATTTTAAACTCCTTTCTTTTCTTTTTTTAGTAGCAGTATCATTATTTCCCCATACCTCTTGTCCTCTCTTCCTCTCCCTGACACAAATGAAACCCTCTCTTGAAACAAATAAATATACTCATGAAAAACAATTCCATGAACTGGCCTTGTTTGAGAGTGTATACTGCATTTTGTACTTCTCTACCAAGAGGTGGGAGACCTACTTAATCATCAGTCTTTTGGAGTCTTCAACGGTCATTGCATTGATCAGAGGTCTTAAGTATTTCAGAATTGTTTTCCTTTGCAATATTGTAGTAATTGTATAAATTTTCCCCTGGTCTTGCTCACTTCATTCTACACCAGTCCATACAAATCTTCCCAGATTTTTTTTACTTTTATCATTTTTATGACATAAAAATATTACATTACATTTATATACCATAATTTGTTTAACCATTCCCCAATTGATGGACATTCACTTTGTTTCCTGAACCGTGCTAAAGTGTCACTTTAAATATATATCTATATCCATACCTATATCTATATCTATATCTCCTTCCACTTTTTCTTTGATCTTTTTTTTGGGGAGTAACCCTACTAGTGGTATTTCTGGGTCAAAGGGTATGCACAATTTAGTAACTTCTTGGAGATAGTTCCAAATTGCTTTTGAGAATGGTTATACTACTCCACAGCTCCACCAACAGAGCATTAGTGAGCCTATTGGTCTCTCCAATATCATATTGTCATGATATTGTTTTCATATTATTGTCAATCTGATCACAGAGTTGTTTTAATGTGCATTTCTCTTATTATTAGTGATTTGGAGTTTTTTTTTTTTCATAAAGCTGTTGATAGATTGAATTTCTTCTCTTGAAAACTCCCTGTTCATCTACTTTGACCATTTGACTATTAGGTCAACATGGTACAAAGAACAGACTGCTGGATTCTGAGTCTGGAAGATTGGGGGTTCAATTCCCGTCTTAGAAACTTATTAGCTTTGTGACCCATGGCAAGTCACCTACCCTCTCGATCTCGTATTTTTTTTTCCTTCAGGCTGGCTTATGGAAGTCTGAAACTTTTCTCTCTTACCATCTACTGCCCAACTTTGTCGCATGTTCTTTAGCTAAGAAAGAAAACACATCAATTCCAAGGACAATTAACTCTATATTTCTACATTTCGCAAAACCAATGAAAGTGTTTTTATTTTTATGTATCTCATCATTTTGTGGAGTACAGATAGAAATGAAGGTACTGAGACAAATCAGTGTCGTGCTACTTTTTTTTTTTTAATATGTAATGTTAGGCAGAATATTGCACAAGTGAATAAAATAGCAGTTTTTTAATGTTGAAGAAAGGTGTTGGTATATAAACTCATTTTCAGGAGGAATTTCCATTTACAAGTAAAAGTAGTCAAATATATAAAAGAGAAAGCAATGATCATCAAAAAAGTAATTGTAAATATAGCTTCTCTTATTTTTAAAGAAAACTTTAAAAAAAAACTATATAACTAAACTAATTGCTGATTATTTCCTGAACTTTTGTATTCACAGCTCTCTAGCCAAGTCCCTTCAACTTAGTAGGTGATTAAAAAAATGCTTGTTGAATTGAATTGAGAGAACTTTTATGGGAAGGCCTAACTTTATATCCTTAATCAGAGTAGTTCCCCCTCAACTCCCCTTTATGAACCCCCCCCGATTTATTAACTTTTTTTTATTTTTTGAGTGGGGACAGAGTGGACATCAAGACTCATCCTGCATGGTGGAGTGGCTAGGGAGCATGCATGCATAATGGCAACAGCACCATAATAATAATAGCTAGCATTTGTATAGCACCTATTATGGGTCAGGCACTGTGCTAGGCACTTTACAAATTTTATTTCATTTGGTCCTCAAAACAACCCTCAGAGGTAGGTGCTATTATTATCCCCATTTTGCAGATTAGGAAACTGAGGTAAATAGAGATTGAATGACTTGCAGTTTATGTCTGAGGCCAGATTTTAACTCAGGTCTTCCTGAGTCCAGATCCAGCACAATGTGCTACCAAAGTGCCCCAAGTAGACGAGTTGGATATTTAGTTATACTATTTACTAGTGGTGTGCCATACGCAAATCACTTAACCTCTCTAAATCTCAGTTTACTTTTACTACTTAGCTTTCACGTGTGTAAATATAAATTTTGGAAAAGCATTGTATAAACAGAAAAAAAACAGCATGTAAATGTGAATTATACTGCCTGGGTACAAGGAAACACTATAATCTAGTTAATTATGGACTGATCTTTCCAGTTACTCTTGGTCAGAGTAATTTTATTTCATTCATTCATGGTATTCTGAATTAAATCAATTTCCTACATCATGAGATTGTAGTCAACTGTTGACATGTTGAGTTCTCTTGTCCCTTTTGCATATCATATGTAGAGAAAAAGGCAGAGTTTCACAAACTCCAAAAGAAAGTAATAAAGCAAAAAGTTCACTTTTATTTTAATATCACTTAAGACAAGGAAAGAGTTGAAAGGAAGGATTACAATATTTTATTCTGGATGTTAATTAAAAATTTTGGTTTCATATTTTGATTACCTACAGTAATAAAACCATATTAATGCTATATTTTTCTTGCTTCTGCTTTAGCTGATGATTAGCATGTGGATTATGCTACCTTGGGAACTATGATTTCCTTCACATTCTGGTTTCCTCCAAAGGCCGGTTCATGAAGTCTTCAATGGCTTGGTGCAAAGGGAGCCATTTTCGAATGGAGGCTTTCAACGCTGTAATCCAACTACAAAAAGGAATTATACTAGTCACTGAATAGAGTTACATATGCAGAAGGGAAGAAAAATGAATCAAAATTGATTTTTAGGATTAGTTCACTAGGTTGTTTAATTTAGGTGTCATGTACTAACCATTAGTAAACCTCTGAGAACAGGAATGATCTTGGAGGGCACTTGAATACACATAGTCATCACAGGCAAAAAGCAAAAGTCGGAGCTATCTCTAAACCTTGAGAGAATTTATCAAACACATCCACAGATACATATGGCACACAGAGTTGATACTGACAGTATAAACCCTTTGAATTTCAACAGAGCACAAAAAAAAATACCTCTCCCAACCAACCAAACAAAAAAACATATAAAAACTCATACATGTCCTCAGAGATGCTGCAGTGCTATAACCACATACTTTCTTCCCAAGAATGTCCCATCTGACTCTTCTTCTTGCTCCATCCCACTGTAATTACTCTGTATTCATGGTAGCACACTGGGGTGGTATAATCACTAATATCAGCAATGCTTATATTGTCTCTCCTGAATAAATACAGTCTGAACGAAGGAAAGAAATGGAAACAAATGCTGGGGCACTCTCCTGGCTCAGATGGCCACAGTTTCTTCCTTGTGGGGCTTTGGAACTTGTCTTTCCTGTTATGGTAACATGAGTGTTAATAGGGAATGAACCATCCCTACCTTTTTTGGGCTGGGTCAGTTTCCATAATGCAAAAATTCTTGGGACAGTTTGCTGGCCGTTTTTCCTACCTCTTCTCCATTCAGAAAATCCAGGTAACTTCACTTCCTTCCATGTCACAAGGAAAATTCTTTACTTAGCCCTAGTTTTTCCATGCTCATCACTGAATCACAGGAGATATCATAATCAGGCAAATTTTTCAGAATTTTCTTTCTAGATTCTGTAAAAGTAAATTGTCCCTGTACTGAGAAACTTTTTAGGTAACAGAACCTGGAAATATATGGTCTCTTATCCTATCCTCTACCATATTGAGAATTTATCAAATCAATCAATCACACAAAAACATTTATTAAGTGCCTACTCTGTGGTAGGTAATGAAATTGATTCTTATTGGTAAAATCCAGTGATGGAAGTTAGCTGACAGATTCCACTTTATTATTCTCTTTGCCCATCCAGAGAGACTGGAAAGCTTATATGAAAAGGCTCTGACTTTCTCATTAGAGTGACTGAATAGCTCTGTCATTATTATATCAGTGACATTCACTCTGATGTTGTACAGGGAACATTGTAATCTGTCACTTGATTTGATGAGCAAGGGTGTGATAAGGAGATGATGTCAACTCATTTGGCAAGAATTTTTACAATACTAATTTAATTAATGTCCTCCCCTAGGTCTGTCTTATACATAGACAGAGTAGACAGTTCTCTGTGTGGTATGATTAGAGGAATGGAAGGAAGACAAGGCATCTTCACTCCTACATCATCTCTCCCCATATACCTCCCTTTCCCACCTTATCACTTGTCACTGGTGCCTGAAATTCTATAACTAGAACACTTTTCCTTTGGGTTAACCCATTATCTCCTGCCAAAATGTGTAAGGGTCTTTACACATAATAAGTGCTTTAAAGATAGTTGTTGATTTGAATCTGAGGACAGATTTAGTCTTGTGAGCTATTAACACCATTGTGTGAACTGGTTAATTAGATCATTTATAATGTGGCAGAGAGCTGGGAACAGGTTTTAATAAATGAGAAAAGGGAATATCAGTTGGAGTTCCAGCCCTCCAGAAAGCAGAGCAACTAATAACTTCTTGACTTGGCTTAATAGGTTTATCCCTCAAAAAGTGAGGGAAGCAGCAAGAGGAACTATTATTTTGGACTTGGTTCTGGATGAGAAAGAGGAATTAGTTTTGAAATGGAAAGAATGGGAACTTGGTGGGAGGGGACCATACTGTCTAAGAATTTATGATAAGGAAGGCAAGAAAAATTATACATACTCTGACAGGTGCACTAAATTTGGGGAGAGAAGAATTAAATTAGATTTGGACAAAGGTTAGATAAGATCCTTTACCTAATGATGGCCTAAAATCCTGTAGGGAAAACTAGTCCAGGAATGTTGGTAAGCAATCAAGAATGAAATTCTGAAGAAACAAGTAGAAACAACTCCAGTGAAGAAGAAAATAGAGACTGATGAGAATGAAGGAACAAGAGTATTCCAATTGATCTTAGAGCTGGAGCTTCGGAAGAGAGAGAGAGAGAGACAGAGACAGAGACAGAGACAGAGAGGTAGACAAAGACAGAGACAGAGAGAGACAGAGACAGAAACACAGAGAGAAAGGTGTTCTTCTTTAGGAGCACAAATTAATCAATCAATTAACAAGCCCTTATTAAGTGCCTATGAATTGATAATTTATGAAATTATGAAATGGAATCAGGTATGCTTGGTTGTTTTGGTGCTCACCCAGGAAAGATCATGACTGGCAGCAGGGAAATGGGGCAGCAGTCACTCTAATTGCACACATAGGGAACAGAGACAGGCAGCAAAAGGGTTACAAAGGCAGATGGTGAGGGGACAAGCAATGGGATGCTGAAGGAAGGCAGACAACATGGGGAAAGGGATGGGGAGGGAAGAGGCATAGATAATCACTCACAAAACCAAGGATTAGAGTTGGGGGCACTTAGCAGCACAGACCTGAAGGAGCTAGAAGAGTGCTGGAGGAGGGTAGAGGAGTTTGAGGTCTCATTTTGTAGGATTTTTATGGGGGAGCAGAATAATTCTTATCCATGCCACCTTGAGATTAGTTCATCAACATAGCTAAACCACCTCAAAGTTATTGGTAAAACTTTAAAGTTAACACAGCCACATCATCTCCAAGATATCAGTACCTTTTTGATGTTCTGCTGTTCTGTAACTGTGGAGGTCTGGAATTTGTCTGGAATTTACATATCATAGAACCAGAACCCTGACAGCAACACCTCGATGACTTCTCCCGATTCAGCACATATTGTCAGGATGTGAATTTTGGTTAATATATGATACAGTTTGTAAATGCTCCTTTGATCTTTGCTACAGTTGGTATGTGACTTCCAGGTTCCCTTTTACAATCTTATTTCCTGCTATTGCCCCTTTATATTGGCTACTGTACTGACTAGAAGGGGAGTGGAGATTGGAACAAGATACAGTTTTATTTTATTTTATTTTTGTTTGTTTGTTTGTTTGTTTTTTAGCTAGGCAATGGGGTTAAGTGACTTGTCCAGGGTCACACAGCTAGTATTATGTGTCTGAGGCTGCATTTGAACTCAGGTCCTCCTGAATGCAGGGCCTGTGCTCTATCCACTGCACCACCTAGCTGCCCCTAAATACTAACCTAACCCCAGGGGGGTGTTGAGTAAATTTTTTTTTTTTTAGGCAATTAGGGTTAAGTGACTTGCGCAGGGTCACACAGCTAGTAAGCGTCAAGTGTTTTGTCTGAGGCCACATTTGAACTCAGGTCCTCCTGACTTCAGGGCCAGTGCTGTATCCACTGTGCCACCTAGCTGCCCCAAGATACAATTTTAACACAGCCTAGTAGGGTCTAGGCCAGGGGTGGGGAACCTGTGGCCTCGAGGCCACATGTGGGCCTCTAGTGCAGCCCTTTGACTGAATCCAAACTTCACAGAACAAATTCCCTAAAGAATTTTAGGCCTCAGGTTCCACACCCCGGTCTTAGCTTAGCTCAGGGCATGCAAACACAAAGAAGAAAATCTCTACCCTCAAGGACATTTCAACAGGGGAGATAACAAGTACAGATATGGACTCTATATAAGCAGATATATATTCTGCACATGTCCATATACAGGATAAATTTAAAGAGAATAAATACAAAGCAGTTAAAGTCAAGGTAATTTGGGAAGGAGAGAACTAGAGTTGAGGGGGTCAGGAAAGGTTTTATGTAGAAAGAAAAGTGGTACTTGAGCTGTATCTTTAAAGAAGCCGTAAAGCAGAGGTCCTTTGTTCAACACAACTTGTACTAATTCCAGTAGCCTCCCCATACTTGTCTACAAAGAAACAACAGGGAAGCTCACAAACCTGAGTCACTATGTCACAGTAGGACCATCATTAACTTTTGCCAGTTTTCCAGGAGCATTCCCTCCCCTCATAAGCATTAATCAGTACCAGTTCCCAAGGTCCAGGCTCCTTACTCCCTTCCCATAATTCCTGGTCTTGCTAGACCGAGATAAAAACTCATCTTATTTTACTACTTGGTGGGGGGGGGTGCCTCATTCCCTCATGCCCCAGTGGGGTGCACTCAATCCCACCTAAGTCTCAATGGTCCTGACTTGTTTCCACCATCCTCCCTGACTGCCCTTCATATTGTAAGTAGGTCCCCTCAGTAAATCTGGTTTTCTTTACTGTTTTCTGTGCTCCGTGTTTCCTTGTACTGAGCCATGGTAAGCTGAAACTTCCTACATCTGCATTGAGACAGGCCTTTATAATAAATAATTCTTTATACAATAGCTAACCTACTTATGTAGAAAAGAAACAAAGTGGAGAGCCTGGAATATACCATGCAATTAAATGACAAGTCAAAGCAACTGTGAATAAGGACATATGTGTATGATAGAGTCATGTTTCATAAAGCTAGGCATGCCTAAAAACACATATGCAAAAATGACACATAAATACACATATGCATATATATATGTATATATATCATATACTATTATATATGAACACACGTTAGGAAGATGAGAAAAGGACACAAACAGGAACAAAGAATGCTTGTACATCCCAGTCGTGAGAAAGCTAGAGTGCTAAATCTTGATGTTGTGATTATGCATATTAACAGTTTGAAAAAGGTGAGTGCATGACCATATGGTGTGGAGAGGGAGGAGCACTAATAGAGGCTTGCTGTATGCTGCTCTGACTCCAAACTGGGTCTATGCATGAGGGAAAGAGAGCATTGTGTAATTGGATAGGAACATGTAGTCGGTTCACACCTCAAAGGTTTTATAAAAGTATTAGGGGTATCTACTGCCAAGGTATTAGGGATGGCACAGTGTCTACAGATGCAATTTGCCAGATTCAGTTCAATTAAACTCAACAAGCATTTATTCCATGCCTGCCAGGAGCAAGACACTCTGTTGGCCCTTAGGGATACAAAACAAATAACTATCCCCGTCCTCAAGTTATCTGCTTACTAGTAGAAAAAAGCTTTCTGAGACATATCCATCCTACTCTGATTACACAAAGTGTGATCACAGTTCCCAGTGCCTGCAGCTTCCTTTATATTTCAGATGGAGAGAGATATCAGGGGTCACTATGCCCCATCTCTTTACACCCTCCGTGCCAACATAGGGCTCTGTGCCAGGAGCTGGGGAATGTTTAATTAGGCTTAAAAGATATACGGAGTCCAAGTTGTGAAGGGCTTCAAAAGCTGTTAGAAGAGTTTGTATTTTAATCTAGAGTTAACTGGGAGCCACTGGAATTTACTGAATAGAGTAGTGACGTGGTCAGATCTGAACTTAAGGAAAATACTTCAGCAGATGTATGGAGGATAGACTGGAGTGGGGACAGCCTTGAGGAAGGGAGGTCATTTAGAAGACCATTGCAATAATCTAGACCAGAGTTGATAAGGGCCGCAGTAAAGGTGGTGGTTGTGTGAGTTAAGATAAAAGATCAGAAATGAGAGATGTAGAGGAAGAAATGGTAAGATTTGGCAATTTGGCAGCAAGATTTGGTTGGATATATGGGGTGCAGAAATGAGGAATGAAGGACAACAATGAGAATACTAAAGTTCAAAATTGGAAAAATGTCTGTGCCTTCAGCAGAAATAGGGAAGTTTGGAGGAGAGGAAGAGTTTTAGGGAAAGTTAATGAGTTCAGTTTTAGGCATCTGATTTGAAATGTCCAGTAGACAATTTGTGATGCAAGACAGGAGCTCAGAGAAAGATTGGTGCTATATATACAGATCTGAGATAATAATTAAACTTGTAGGGGCTACTGAGGTCAATGAGAGAGAAGGCTGAGGATAGAGCCTTGGGGAATACCCACAATTGGGGGTGTGGTATAGATGAGGAGCTAGCAAAAGTAGACTGAGCAGAGGTCAGAAAGAAGGGAGGAGAACCAGGAAAGGGGAAGTAGGTCCATGAACTTAACAAGCATATAAAAAGCAAATAAGCAATAGGCAATACTTTGTGAGGCATATACGTATCAGCAAAAATATGAGATAATGAACTAGTAGTCCCATGAATCAATAAATTAATATTTACATTATATATAGAGTCCACTGTTCACAGATTTTACAAATGATGAAGGGTGAGTCATTTGTAGGAATGCCCACAAGCTTGATCCCTGAGAGGCGGAGTCATTTATTACACTGGGCTGTCCCATGTTTGGTTCTGGAGAGGATGGGACTTTGAAAACACAGGAAATTTGGAGCACCATTGGTGAGGCTGGAGGAACAGAGGAGGGATGTACAGAAACTAGGAAGCAGGGCAGAGGCTGTTCAACAGGGTGGAAAACAATCAGGCTCTCCCAGGGCAGCCAGTGTAATTGTCCAAGGCAGGCAGATGGGATTGTATCAACTCATTTGAAGGAAGGAGCTGATTGCTAGTAGACTTTCCCAAACCCTTGGGGTGTGCTGGTAAATGTTTAACAACTAGCTCTCCAGGGAAAAAATGTACATGTGACACATTTTAAAGTTTAATCTATATTATTAACATTTTTTTCTATCACTTTCTTAGGCCTATAAAATAAAAAAAAAATAAATCAAACCCTGATTTGGGGCATTTGCCAATTTCTGAGTTATGAATACCCTGAAAACATCAGAATCTGCTTGTGAGTAGGAGCTTGTTTGACTTGGCTCCAGCATATCCATGGTTGTAGGTCTACCTTGATGTAAGTACAAAAATGAGCATATCCCAGCATAATTATGCTGTACAGGACAGTGGCTGAGAGCCATCTTCTTTCTCCTTTCCTCTCCCCTCCTTCAATACAAGCAGAGCTGTAAACCCCCCAGCTGTGTTCTATTTTACTATCCACAACTGCCAGTGGTATTTTGTAAGCCTCATTGTCTTTTTATAAATTAGTTTGTTCCAGTTTTCACTGGGCATGGATTCGCATTAGATAAAAAGATGCTTAGAGGGATGGCCCTTAAAGGGTTTTGTATTTCACAGACATATATGTTATGATCCTGCAATTCCAGTGTGGGAGGTTAAAAGACCCTGCTGGAGGCTACTGAATTTGGTTTAATGTGTGTTCTTATAACTCTCCCAAGCAGAATTCTCTCTTCGACTTCTCCTAGAAGGATGAGCCATTAGATTATGATGCTGCTGAGGGTGTGAGAGAAGCTCCCAGGTCTGCTCTGCTCTTGTAAACCAAAGGAAAGGGAAAGTGAGGGGAGTACAGACATTCATGCTTCATAGCAACACTTTGAGAAGAGCTCATGTTCTTCTGTTTGGAAAGACTTCACAGAGGAGTTGGGTAAGAAATCATTGAAAGAGTGAAAGAAAGTAGTTTGGCATATGAGGGAAAAGGCCCATATGAAGACTTGGAGCCAACAGAGCTTTTTGCTGGGAAGGTACCTATCAGACTAGAAGAGAAGAGAACTTACCGCTTATTTTCTGTTTCATTCTCTGCACAGAAGTAAAAAGTCTTCAACTCTTCAGATGGTGGGTTAAGTTCAATAACAGATTGCTTGAAGCTAAGGACCTGTTCACTCACACTATACCCCTGAAGGTACAGTCCACCTAAGGAGGGTAAAAGGAGAAAAGAAACTAAAAGGAGTAGGAGATAACTGCAACAGGAATGGAGACAGATAAAATGTGGTCAAATACCGAAGACAGAGAAATTTAGACGTGAGGAGGGACTTCAGAGATCATTTAATCCAACTCCTTCATTTTATAGATGAGAAAACTGATACCTGGAGATCTCAGGTGACTTGTTTAAAGTCACACATTTAGTGGTAAATCCATGACTTGAATTTAAATTTGAATCCCAACTCAGTGCTCTTTCTACAAGATGTATGTATAGTGGATGTTTTGCTTTCATTCAGTGACTGCTGGTCCTATATTTTTTAAAAGAACATGTGTTTCAGATTCCCAAAGAAAGACACCTCTGAAATCAAAATATAGTCAATAATTAAATAAGGTTTTCATATTTTCAATATTTTAAGAGATTGTGACTTGATAAATATGAGGATGAAACTGTTCACAATCCAGACACTTTTCGAGTTTCAAGTGTATGCAAAACATATTTAAAATATTAAAATTATAAGGCACCTGCTTAACATTATGTGGATGATCTGATGAAGTTAAAAAGAGGGTTGGCATATGTTATAAAATATAAATCTTTTCTCACATTTGATGAACTCAAGAAGTTATAAGAAACAACAACAACAACAAAAATCCCAGCCAAACAATAGGAAACATTGGTGAGGCCTAAGTTCAGATGGAAATATATATGAGGTATAATGAATTGGTAATTTCATGAATCAATAAATTGATATTTACATTATATGTGTAATTCAGTGTTTGCAGCTTTTTTATTTTTGTTTTTATTTTCATTTATTTATTTTTAAGGATGAAGGTTGAAATATTTGTAGTCCTGCTGACAAAGCTTCCAGTAACAGAATGATATGTCCCTGGGGGTAGGTCATTTATAACTCAAGTCCAGCTTGGGGAAGGGAAGACCTATAGAAGTGGGAGACATAATAATTATCTCCCAATATTTGCAGTTCTGTCCCATAAGAAAGGGAATAGACTTCTTCTGCTTAGCCTCTAAAGTAGGAATTGCAAAAATTGGCCTAAGGTAAAGGAAACCCTTCTAACAATTATAGTTATCTAAATGTATGGCTTCAGTAATTAGTCAGTTCCCCTTCTTTGGAAGTCTTTAAGCAAAGGCTCAATATCCATTTGCAGAGGATTTTTTTGGGAGGATTCCTCTTGGGTTGGACTAGAAGATGTATGGAATTTCCTCCTATTTTGAGACTTTGTGATTCTATGATATTATTTGGCCAAAACTGTTGTTTCCTTTTTAAGGAGAAAAAAAGGGGTCTCTTTCTACCAAAAGATGCTGATGTCAAAACGGTTTTAATATTGAATGCTTGCTAACATCTGCTTAGCAATGTGATCACAGATACTTGTTTTCTTTTCTAAGCCTCAGGTTTCTCATCTGCAAAACAGGGAAAGATGGGTACTTTTAGTGCCTAGCCCACATGGTTTTTTAAAAATTTTTTTATTTTTAGGCAATTGGGGTTAAGTGACTTGCCCAGGGTCACACAGCTAGTAAGTGTCAAGTATTTGGTCTGAGGCTGGATTTGAACTCAGGTCCTCCTGACTTCAGGGCTGGTGCTCTATCCACTGTGCCACCTAGCTGCCCCCTCCACATTTCATGAAGATCAAATAAGATAATGCACTTTGTAAATCTTATGGAAGTATAAAAATGCCAGTTATTATTAATATTACTGCTCAGGATCAGGTCATTGCCATTGGAAGTAAGTCAGGGCTTACGGATTAAAACATATTACAAAACGAAATAAATGGTGGAATAAATACTGCCACAGAGGATTGCAGAAATTCGGCGTCTCCTAGATACCAAGAAAAAACCTACTCTACAACAAAACCACATACTATAAATATAGATTTTCATTACAGACAGAACTATTTTTCACAACCACTTTGACAAAATGGTGATCCTTAAGTATTTAGGGACAACATTTTAAATAATTGTCACCATACAAATATTTGTAACTTCCAAAATATAGAGACCTAGCAGATGTTAAGATGACGTGGCAATAGGACAAGGCATTATGTTTATTGTTATTTCATTTTTCTCTTCTATAAGGTTCAGATTGAAATGGTTCAAGGACAAGTTACTACCCTGCTGTTATTCTTTTATATTTTATGTTCTGTAAACAGGTGCATAAATAATTGCTTTTGTAGCTGAATAAAAATAGTAGAATACCAGCTTGTCCTCTGTCAACTCAATGAAAACATCATTGGTACAAACTCCAGTAGCAGACAGGACAATGAGGATAATATGCATCCTATCCTGTTCCCACAAAATTTTGATTGCTTCACTAGGTTCCTGTATTTTAAAAGCATTTCATTTCATGTAGTATGGACCTAATTAGCATTAGTATACCATTAGTATATGGTGCCATATATTTAAAACTTTATTGTTGAGTTTTTATAATCAACATTCTTAAATATTTATGGATCAATAGGCCATTATTGGCAACATTTTGGTCTGATAATGGTACAGTCCCAGTAGAGTTTATTGGTTGAATTCTCCAGAATATTTTTAAGTTTGTATTTGTAGTATGGAGATTTGCTGTCTGTCAGTCCATGAACAATAGAGAGGTGTGAATGTATAATTTTAGCCATCAAGTCACATCTAGGTAATAGGTAGGTGATAAACATTTACACCTTACAGTGATATATGATGTATGGTTTGTTGTTTTTTTTTTTTTTTTACCACTTCCTTGTACGCTCTATATTCCTCACTAAGTCTGGGCTTTTTAAACATAACCTTTCTTTTAATTTCTAGTGGTAATGACCTGGCCCTTAACAAACAAATTCATATGACCCAACTCTTTGTTTGACATTTCTTTGTTGCTATATTTTTGGCTGAGTTCACGTATATGTTTCTGGTGGAGGGTCTTTTGATTCCATTCTTGGAATGAAACCACTTCATAACTTCTTTCTAGTAATAAATCGTGTTCACTTATATTTGGAAAATACAATGTCAGATACTTTATCAACCATAATTTTTGCTTGGTGAAACAAGGTGCTTGATGATGTCTGCTTGATCCAAAATATTTCTGCAGGTAATACAACTATTTATCATGTACTCTAAGCAATTTTCTTCTTCTCTTTTTATGGAGAAGTGTTAATTTATCTATAACTGCTTTAGGATGGTGGACCCTACACTTCATGAATATTGCACAAGTTTTTGTTAGGATACCTTCCAAACCTGTTCTGGTCTATTTGGGGGGGGGGGAGGGTATTTGGGAACTTGCAGCCTCAAGGCCACATATGCCCCTCTAGGTCCTCAAGTGCGGCCCTTTGACTGAATCCAAACTTCACAGAACAAATCCTTTTATTAAGGGGGGATTTGTTCTGTGAAGTTTGAATTCAGTCAAAGGGCTGCACTTGAGGACCTAGAGGGCCACACGTGGCCTCAAGGCCGTAGGTTCCCCACCCCTGGTCTATTTTATAGTTCCCAAAGTATGCATTACAACTAGTATTGAATAGATGTTAATTGCTTTAAATGTGTTCCCAGTCAAGGATGGGATGGATCTCATTTGGGATGCCAATGTCTCAACATATTCAGCTACAGCCTTCTCTTTGATTTCTTTATACTTGTGTGGTCTGACTCAGAGGACATTATCATTATCATTGTCATTGTTATCCTGTTCTTTTCATCGTTTTCCATGCAGTTCATAGAGCAAATGTCCTAGGGCAAGTTGTTATCCTGTTTTGTAAAAAAGAAAAAAAACACCCTAATGTTTGGGGAACTATTACACTTGTGGATAGAATAAATGCTGTTTATGTTTGAATAAAAATAAAGGATGTAAAGTCATCTTCTGTAGACTCATTTAGTCATCTTTGGAACAACTCTTGTAGTAGACAAGATGGCAAGGATAATCTATACCTCAACCTATTCCTACTTAATTTTGATGACTTCTGCTGGATCATATGTTTCAGAAACTTGGAGATTATGCGTATTTGGAATGACAGTATCTATTAGAAATATTGTTCTTAAATTTTTATGTATCATGGTTATATCTGTGATAATGTCCCTTTCTCTTCCCATAGGAACTAAGTTTTATTGTGTCTTGCTATGAAATGAACAATGATTGGTTTGTGATCAGATAATTGAACCAGACAATTATCTCCAAAATTTAAATTATAGTTATATACTGAGTTGAATAGTTCACATTTTTATAATTTACAAAAGGTTCTGTGCAGGAATCTTCTTTGGAGGGTCTTTATACTAAAATGGCAATTGCAAGTTAAGAAATTAATTCAGTCTACTGTCTTGTACCGTGTTTGGGTTAACAACTTAGCATCTTCCTCTGAAACCTCCATTTTCATCATTTGCATCATGTTGCATTATTGTTCTCTCTTACTTTCTCTTGGACTTTCTTTCTCATGTTTTTTAAAGTTTTTTTTTATGCGTTTTGGTGAGGCAATTGGGGTTAAGTGACTTGCCCAGGGTCACACAGCTAGTAAGTGTCAAGTGTCTAAGGCCAGATTTGAACTCAGGTCCTCCTGATTCTCTATTCCAGGAGAAGAAGTTGGGGACTACTATTATGTATAATTTTTTCTCTATGTCAAGGAGAAGAAGTTGGGGACTACTATTATGTATAATTTTTTCTCAGTCTATTCACTGTGCCACCTAGCTGCTGTGTTTTTTCAAGGTTTTAAAAAAAATTAACAGAAATCTATTTTTTTCTCCCTCTTAACCATCCACCACTGAAAAAGAAAAGAAAAACAAATTCTTTTTAACAAATATGCATAATCAAGCAAAACAAATTCCCTCATTTTCTGTAGTCAAAAAATATGTCTCATTCTGTGCCACAAATCCTTCACCTCTCTGTCAGGATGTAGATAGCATATTTCATCATTGGTCTTTTGGCATCAGGGGTGGTCATTATGTTAATCAAGCTCTTACTGCTTTCAAAGTTGTTTGTCTTTACAATGATGTTATTGTTTCAGTTGTTCTCCCAGTTCTCCACATTTGGTTCTTCATTGGTTTATAAAATTATTCAAAACTATTTGCTTTTATAATATTGATGTTATAGTATAGCATAAATTGCTCTTCTGGTTCTGCTCACCTCCCACTGCATCTTTGGATATAGGCCTAGCAGTGGCATATATAGGTCAAAGGGCACATGCTGGTTCAGTACTTTTGGTGTATAGTTTCAAATTGCTTTCCAAAGTGATTATAAGGGGCAGCTAGGTGGCACAGTGGATGGAGCACTGGCCCTGAAGTCAGGAGGACCTGAGTTCAGATCCGGCCTCAGACCAAACACTTGACACTTACTAGCTGTGTGACCCTGGGCAAAGTCACTTAACCCCAATTGCCTAAAAAAACAAAACAAAACAAAACAAAACAAAACCAAACCAAAAGTGATCGTACCCAACCACAGGTCCACCAACAGTGCATCAATGGGCTGAGTTTTCCACCACCCCTCCAAGATCTAATTCACTTTTTGGTCATCTTTACCCATTTGATGGGTGGGAGGTGAAACTACAAAATTACTTTAATGTACATTTCTCTAAGTATTAGTAATTTGGAGCCTGAAAACATATAGCTATAGATAGCCTGGGTTTCTTCTCTTGAGAACTGCTTGTACATATCTATAGACCATTTGTCAATTGCAGAATGGTTATAGTCCAGTTCTGGCACAATTTGCTGACTGAGGTCTCCAGAATATTTTCAGAACTAAAGTATGAGGATTTGTCATTTTCTGATCCATTAAATAAAGCAAGCTTCTGGTGTATAATTCTAGCTACCAGGTCATATCTTGCTAGGTAGTCTAAGTGTTAATTTTTTCTCAGTCTGCAGGAATATGTTGCACAATTTCTACCTTTCCTTTTTCTTGCATCATCTATATCAATTAAGAAGTCCAGGATCTTGACTTTAATTTTGATGGCAACAACCTTATTCAGTCACCATTATAAACTTCTCCATTTCTATAAAGAAATCTGTATGACATGTTTCTTGGTTGACATATTGTTGCTAGAGTTTATGTTGGTGTTACTCATGGAGGTTCTTTTGGTTCCATTGTTGGATCTTCATTGTTTCAAAGACTCTTCTGTGTCTTGATGTTCTAAGGTGGGTAAAAAACCTATTCAGTGACATTGAAGAGTTTTCTTAATGATGATGATGAAAACTCTTTGTCTAAAATATACAACCTCTCTCTATCTCTTTCTTCTCATCCTTTTCCCAGAAAACACTTTAGTGCCCTGTGCAAACACAGGAAAAGAGACAGGTCTTTGTCACCTACATGATGTCTGTTCCATGCTACTTTGTTAATAAAGAGCTATTAAAGAGGAAATATTTGCTTCTATAAAGCCTGTCAGGGAAGATGAAACCATTTCTTTTCAAACAGAATAGTTTAGGGATTTGAATAATGCAAGTGAGAAGGAAATATTTTTTCTTAGAGGTGAAATAATATCCTCAAATGCAAATTCTGAATAATTTTTATTTTCAAAGTATCTGTTTTATATTTAACATTCTGGTTAAGTAGAAGTATTTTAGAAAGAGCCAGATTATTTTTCCATAAACCGTAACTATTAGAAGCTTCACAAAATGATTCTTTAAAAAATATAGAGCTTAATCAGTACCAATGACGTATTTTAACCAAGTGGTGTCAATCAATACAAAATGGTACTTTCATTGACCCAGGCCTGGTAAACAGAGCTGAAAGTAAAATGTAAGGTTAGAGGTAGCTGTAGAAAATAGGATTGCAGGCTATGTTCAAATTCTCATATTTGATCTCTGATCAAATTAGCCTTTTCCCTCTCTTGCTTTTTCTATTTCCTTCAGGAGCATATTGAGTGACTTATACCGGCCAAGAACTAGACAATGCAGACAATACGTGCACTTTCAGAAAAGAGAAGTATTTTGTGAGGTCTCCTAGAGTCTTACAGCATTCCTCTCTCTATTTAGACCATGACCCAAATTGGGTTCCTCAATAATCCTCAGAAAAAGAATTTGTTCCTCAATCTCCTGGCCAAATGTAGATTAAAATTGGTCTCAGGGAGGGAGGAAGGGAAAAAGGAAGGAATAGAATTTGGAACTCAAAACATTAAAAGAAGTTCAAAAAATTGTTTTAATGTGTAATTGGAGGAAAATAGATTGTATAAAAAAAGAACAGTGAGGTATTTTTGATGGGTCTGGAGGTTGTAGGACTAGCTTGCTAAACTACAGCAACAGTAATGATGCTGCCCCCACCTCTGGCAATTACACTTCGGTGTTTACCAGCTGATTATCAGCTCCAAAAAATTTACTTGCCTCTGTACTAAGAACATTTGGGTGAATGGGGTGGGATGTTCAAAGGATGAATGGAAGATGGGTAGTGTAGCAGTGGAAAATCTGAGTTGACCTGGGGTTACTTGCACATGTGGTCTGTTCTTTTCAGATAGTGATTACCGTTGTTAGATGTGCATTTGTTGGTGTTAAAAACAGTCTTATCTGAGATTTCTTTTGGATCTTAGGGTACCAAAATTTCACTGGTTTCTGATTTAGGATGTCAAGGAGAAGAAGTTGGGGACTACTATTATGTATAATGATGCTAACTAGAAATGTTCAAGATAGCACGAGAGGCTTAGAGGATTATAAGATTAATTTTTTTCTTATTCCATAACAATCAGTTCAGTCATTTCAAATTACTTTTGAACAATCTAGAGTACCTACCTGTGGCCTGAGTGGAGCGAATGCTGGCGTAGAAATACAGACAGCCATCCTTCAGAATGCAGTAATATTGGGCCCAAACATCCTGATCCCTATCCAGCTGGTGTAGGAGACCTAGACACTCTGGATTCTTGATGGCCAAGGGTGGAAGACTGCTGTTGTGTAGTGTTACATCTATCCAGACATGATTCTGCATATTTAGTACAAAGGAATAATTTAAAATACAAAATAGGAGAGATATTTAAGAGCCATAAAAAAGTCATAGAATCATACATTGGAAAGGACTTTAGTTATCATTAGGCCATTGTTGTTCAGTCAATTTTAGTTGTGTCTGACTTTTCATGACCCCATTTGGGTTGTGTTTTTTTTTTTGACAAATATACTAGAGTGGTTTGCCACTTCATTCTGGTTCATTTTACAGATGAGGAAACTGAGGCAAACAGAGTTAAGTGACTTGCCTAAGATCATGCAGCTAGTAAGTGTCCCATGCTTTTTAGCATGATGTTTTTTAGCGATATTGTTGGATGCCTTCAACGAGGACAAAAACGGCATCAAGGTAAATTGATGGTAAATTACACTGAGAGTAAATTATTTAACTTGAGAAAGCTACAATACAAGCCAAGACTAAAATGGAGGAAGAGTTGGTGCAAGACTTTTTGTTTGCAGATGATTATATACTCAATACAGCCTCTGAGGCTGAGATGCAACAAAGTATGGATCGACTCTCTTCTGTAAGAAAACAGAGTTTCTCCACTAGCCAGCACCACCCCATCCATATGTGGAACTATTGCTTACAGTAAATGTAGAAATTTTGAACGCTGTGGATAAGTTCACTTACTTTGGCGGTACAGTTATCACTTCCATATTGTGGGGGTTATGGGCAATGGGCCTCCTTGATCTGGAAAATCTGTGTAAAATTTTTTGGCCCTCCCTTTGTACCAGAGAAGAGATCTGATTTTTTTCTTTTTCTTTTATGGGGTGTTTACCATATTGTAATTTGGGTTGATATTATACAGTGCTATACATATATTTTATGCATTTCTGAGTTTATAAAGTTTTTCTGTGTTGTCTGCTGGCTTTCACTTGTTGTCTGCAGCTTCTGCAAACCTCCCCCCAAATTCTCATTTAATTTCTTATGCCAACCTGCCAAACCATGATGGGGAAAGTCATAATGTAGAAGGGATAACTATACTTCCAGGAATGTACACATAGATGATGAAGTTGACACATATATTGCCTAGCTCAGTGTTTGGGAGGCTCTAAAGAAAAGTGTGGGAGAGAAGAGGTATTAGGCTGCCTACCAAACTGAAAGTCTACAAGTTTTTGTGCTAACCTCATTGTTGTATGCCTGTGAAACCTGGACAGTATACCAGAGTCATGCCAGAAAACTTAATTGCTTCCATTTGAATTGGCTTAGGAAGATTCTGGAGACCATGTGGGAAAATAAAAGTACTAGACATTGAGGTCCTTTCTCAAGCTGATCTGCCAAGTATTAAACCTCTACTGCAGAGAGCACAACTCCAAAGGGCTGGCCACCCTGTTCAAATGTCAAATACACGTTTGCCTAAAAGACTATTTTACAGAGAATTTATACAAGGCTACTGCTCACATGGAGGTCAGAAGAAGTGATACAAGGACTCTTTCAAGGTCTCTCTGAGAACTTTTTTTTTTGTTTGTTTGTTTGCTTGTTTTGTTTTTTTGGTGAGGCAATGAGGGTTAAGTAACTTGCCCACAGTCACACAGCTAGTAAGTGTCTGAGTCTGTATTAGAATTCAGGTCCTCTTGACTCCAAAGCGAGTTCTATCCACTGCATCACCTAGCTGCCCCCCTCTGAGAACTTTGGAAGCAATTGTGAGATATGGGAGACACTGTCACAGGACTGCTCATATCAAAGAAGGTGCTGTGCTTTATGAGTGAAGCAGAATTGCAGTAGCTCAAAAAAGAAAAACAAAAGTGAGATCCACAGATGTAGAGCCATCTCCATTCTCAATGTTCATGTAGATTATCTGTGCCTGATCCACGATGGAGCCTTTCGGCTCCATATTTGGTCTGATCAGTCACAGTCAGACACACTGTATCTTGACCCCAACATTGTGACATCATTTTAGTCCTCCTTGAGAGCAAAGGACAACAACCAACCAAGTGTCTGAGGCCAGATTCGAACTTCAGATGAATCTTCCTGACTTCAGGCCCAATGCTCCATCCACTTTGGATTACATACTGCCAGAGGAGAATGCTTCAGTCAGAGAAGTTATGTTTGAAAAACAATCTCACTCGTGTTTGTGATTCCCCTGACTCTGTCTTGACTCTCTGGCTTTGGACCATGACTATGAATTCCTTTTCTGCCTCTGGACTAGGTCCTTGGACTTAATTTCCTTGTGAACTCTGGTTTGAGGGCGTCCTTCTTAACCTCCCGATCATGACTCAGTGGTATTCTTTCCCTAGGGGATATCTTTTCTTGCTCTGTTCATTGCCTCCTAGTCTCTAGAAATGATTGTCCCCTTTGTCTACGGGACAGATAGGGTTTCTCAAAAATTTTAAATTGGAGCCATTTTTCTTCCTCCTTTTTATGGGTATTATTTTCTCCATTGTTGTCTTAGGGTAATGGGCCTTGCATTTCATTAATATTGTGAAGGTTTTTGTTAGGTTACTTTCCAAATTTTTTACAACCCATTTTATAATCAAAGTGCACATTATGACAGGTGTTACATAGATGATAATTGCTTTAAATATGTATTTCCCATTCAATTTTGATTTCAGATGCCAATAAATCTTTTAACATATTATCTTGAATATCAGTTTCTTGTTAAGCATTTTTGCTCTGGCATTTTCAGTGCAAAGACAATTCATTTGGGCAGAGAAATAGGCAAAATTAAAATTGAGGAGCTTTGCTTTAACTCTGTTGTTTCATCCAATGTGTTAGCTATTTCTCTCAAATTTGTGTAATCTTCAGTTCTGATGAGCAGGCTATCTATGTCTTTATCCACGTCATTGCTAAAAGCACAGAGACAAACATGGATCCTTGGACCACTCCATGGAAACCTACCAAGCTGACATTCAATCATTAATAGTAGTAGTAAATCATTAATCCTATTAAGTCCTTTTAAAACATAGTTTCCAATTCCCTATTAGCAATTTCTTTCCCCATCATTTCCAATGTAAAAATCATTCTCTTTAGAAGAAAACAATTGAAAATAAAAAAGAATTGAGAAGCTCTGCCTTTCCTCCATCTCTTTTGTCTACTTTTGTAGTTCCACCTATCTTAAGGAGGGGGCAGCTAAGTGGTACAGTGGATAGAGTGTGAGGCCTAAAGTCAGGAAGACTCATCTCCCTGAGTTCAAATCTGGCCTCAGACACTAACTAGCTATGTGACCCTGGACAAGTCACTTAATCCTATTTGCCTCAGTTTCCTCACTTGTAAAATGACCTAGAGAAGGAAATGGCAAACCACTCTAGTAGCTTTGCCAAGAAAACCCCAAATAGGGTCATAAATAGTTGGACACAACTAAAATGACTGAACCACAAAAACCCCAAGCAGTATTTCTATCCCTTCTTTGATCCTCCTATTTTTCTCAATATAGCTTAAGCCTTTTTGTTGTCCTTAGCTTTCATCGTCAGCCCCAGTCCTTCTGAGCTTCAGTTTTTATAGGAGTGTGTTAGTCTTATAAATTCATCCTCTGTTACCTGTCCTTGATTCTATATTCTGTAATTATTCTTTAAAAATCTAAGCTGTTTGGTGAGGTGCACACACATTGGTCTCTTCAGAAATCTCCCATTTTCCATCTTAATTCCATTTTTAAGAGCTCCTAGTCCCTTCTAGGCTAAATTCCCCTGCTGGTTCTTAGTTCATTGGTTCTTCCCTGTCCTTCTATAAGGACAAGGAGAAGGAACGGACCTTAAATTGCATTAGTTTAGGAAGCTCCTGGATGAGGAAATGTCTCTTCCCTGCATCTCATGGTAATATAGTGTTGCCTAGAGCATGGAGGTTAAATGACTTGTACAGGGTTATGCAATCTCTGCGTTAGAGATGGGACTTGAACCCAGGTCTTCTTAGCTTTAAGAACAGCTTTCTAACCAATTCATCATGTTGTCTCTATCTTTTTTTCTGGACCCTTTGAAATCTGCTTTTCCAAAATCTAAGGAGTGTGTCAATTCCTGCCTTTCCTTTCCTCTATCACAGGAACTGATTGCTTCCTCCCAATGGTCCCAGCAACCAGTTCTTTCCTGTTAGTGAAAATCCGATCCCAAATAGATTTTCTCCTTTTTGTTTCTTCCTCCTTTTGAAGGCAAGTCATTAAAGCAAGTGAAGAACTTTAACTGCCTGGTGTGTGTGTGTGTGTGTGAGTGTGTGTGTGTGTGTGTGTGTGTGTGTGTGTGTGTGTGTATGAGAGAGAGAGAGAGAAAGAGATTGAGAGAAGCTCCAGTAGATATTTAAATAGATCATTATTGTATCACATCTCTGTGCCTGACTTGTGATGTTTCCAGAATTCCTCACTATTTCCACTTACTATCCAGGTAGACTATAGTGTAGTTTGATGAAAATTCAAGTATTATATTATGTGATCATAGGTAATGGCAAATCTGAGAAAAAACCCAGGCCTCTTGACTTTCAGTCCAGTGATCTTTCTATTATATCACTCCCATTTTCCACTGACCACACTTTGATATCTCTTTTCTCTAATGCATAGCATTTTTCTTTGCATTAACTATATTAAAAGTATAAATGTTCTTTTATAGCGAAAGACCAGGGAGTGGTATGTGGGAATGGAAAGGGGGCTGCAGTGCAGAAAGTGCCAAAATTCTTTCCACATGTGAATACCTCCCAATGGAGTGGTTGCAGTTTGGGTTTCAATTTGTGTCTGAGCACAGTTCTAAGATATTCTTTGTGACTAGATGATAGCCTGGTTATTACATACCTCTCTTCGATTAAAAAAAATTATTTTTAAAATTCTTTTTTAAAATTTTGAGGTTCAAATTCTCTCTTTCCATCCAGCTCCTCCCCCACCCACTGAGAAGGCAAGGAATATGATATCAGTCGTACATGTAAAATTATGCAAAACATTTGCATATTAGCCATGTTACAGAAAAGTAAGAAAAATAAAGAAAGCAAGAAATTATACTTCAATTTGCACTTAGATTTCATTAGTTCTCTCTTTCTGGAGGTAGATAGCATTTTTTCATCATGGTCTTGGATAATTGTATTGATTAGAGTAGCTAAGTCTTTCACAGTTGATCATCATTACAATGATCTCATGGTACTGCTCACTTCACTTTGCCTCAGCTTATATAGCTCTTCCCATTTTTTTTCCTGAAACCATGCTGCTCATCATTTCTTATAGCATGTTTGTATTCTATCACAATCATATACCACAACGTGTTCAGTCATTCCCCAATTTCCAATTTCCAATTCTCTGCCACCACAAAAAGAGTTACTATAAATATTTTTGTACATAAGTCCTTTTCCTTTTTCTTTGCTCTCTTTGGGATACAAACCTAGTAGTGGTATTGCTGGGTCAAAGAGTATATATAGTTTTATAGTTCTTTGGGCATAGTTTTAAACTCTTCTCCAGAATGGTTGGACCAGTTCACAACTCCACCAATAATTTATTAGTGTACTCATTTTCCCATATCCCCTCCAGCACTTGTCATTTCTAATAGGTGTAAGGTTGTATTTCAGAATTGTTTCGATTTGCATTTCTCTAGTCAATAATGATTTAGAGCATTTTTTTCATATGACTATAGCTTTGATTTCTTCTTCTGAAAACTGTCTTTCTATATCCCTTGACAACTTATCAGTTGGAGAATGGCTCTTATTTTTTTTTAGGCAATTGGGGTTAAGTGACTTGCCCAGGGTCACACAGCTAGTAGGTGTCAAGTGTTTGGTCTGAGATTGGATTTGAACTCAGGTCCTCCTGACTTCGGGGCTGGTGCTCTATCCACTGTGCCACCTAGCTGCCCTGGCTCTTAGTTTTATAAACTTGACTCAGTCCCCTATAAATTTGAGAAATGAGACCCTTATATTAGTTCACTGTCTATTGTTGCCTTTTAGCAAACTGTAGTTTCCCTGATTAATTTTTTCTAATTAGGTCTACTTTTGTTTCATCTGAGATCATGATGCTACCTGTGCTTTTTTTTTTACTTCAGTTGAAGCATAATAGATTCTGCTCCAGACTGTTACTTTAATTCTGTGTATAAGCATCTTTCTGTTTCAAGTGTATCTCTTAAAACAACATATTGTTGGATTCTGGTTTCTAGTCTATTCTGTTATCTGCTTCCATTTTATGGGTGAGTGCATCCCATTCACATTAACTGTTATGATTATTAACTGTGTATTTCTCTCTATCCTATTCTGTTTATCCTTCTCTCTCTCTCTTTAGCCCTTTTCCTTCTTAAAAGTCTGTTTTGCTTTTGACCACTGCCTCCCCAAATCTGCCCTCCATTTTATCAACTTCCTTTCTCTTATCCCCTTCCCCTCCTCCTCCCCTGTTTGTTAAAGAGAGAAGTATATATACACACACTCAGTTGAGTATAGAGAGAAGGATAAACAGAATAGAAAGGTTCAAGCACTGTAAAAACTCTTCCTTGCACACTTCTTTTATGTGAGATAATTTCCCTCATTCTTCTTTTCCCTACCTCTTTCTCCCAGTGCATTTCTCTTTCTGCCTTCTATGTTTTATTTTCACTATCCCAATATAATTGACTCATACCCATACTTTATGTTTATATAGACTCATTCTAATAGCCCTAATAATGATAAAGTTCTTAGGAGTTACATGTAGCCATCTCTTCCATTTGTACAAAGGAAATTGAATAATTGCTAGAGTTGTGCTGGAGACAGCTCTAACTAGCTGATCATCAAATTTTTACTGTTAGCATTTATACTTCAGAAGTATACAAAATAAAATATACAAATCAAAGTATACAAATCAAGTATACAAATCAAAACCTGATTTATTATTTGTTCATTGTTTAGACCTAAGAAAGTATTAATAGGGCAGTTTAAATTTTAAAAGGGTATATGCATATTTTTTTTTCTCCCAGGGAGAGTATGGTTGTTAAACATTTGTCAGCATCCCATTGTATTGCTCTATAAATATTGCTTGACTTCAGCAAGAATAGAGTAGAAGGTTCTAGGAATGAAGACATCGCTAGACTAGAGGCTTGGTGACTAGAGGCTAATGATGATAATAATAATAATTGGAATTTATACAATGCTTTAAGCTTTGCGAAGTTCTTTACATCCATTATCTCATTTGAGCTTCACAACACTCCAAGAAATAGCTCAATAAATTGGGAGGAATGATCCCATGACCAATACTATCAGAGGTTGGAGACAAACGAAAAAGTTTCAGTAGGTTGGAGGTGAATGAGTCATCTGTCCATGGGATGGAGGCGTTATTCCCTTCTAGGGGCTTGGATGGGGGAATGGGGCTCTAGGGTCAGTCTCTGTCTCTGTGATCTGCTTCTTTGGCTTGGAGCAAGTGTGACCTACTCCTTTCCACCTACACTGTCCTGCCTGGCACAGAGGAAGTGCTTAATAAATGCTTGCTGAATAAACGTGTGAATGATGACTCACTGTTAATTTTCCTTCTTTGTTTTTTTATTTCCTCTTTACTCTTGATCTACTACCAGAAAAAAAATATCAGGGGAAAGTGCTTGCTGTATTTTTTTTAAATGTGAACTAGAATCTGGGAGTATGTATGCTTATCTATTATGTCCTTGTGCATTTACTCCAAGTTGAGTAGATTTTCTAAAGTCCTAAAGCTGCATCAGAGTGATGTACTGGAAATATATTAGAGTACTGAGTGATGAAATGAGACATAGGTACTGCTGCGATAAAAAAAAAATGAGGGTTATAGGACTCTGGGCAGTGAATTCAACCACAAATCTTCAAAACCTTCTTTGAAAACTAGAAAAAACACATATGGAGGTCAAAATTTTTAACAGAGGAGACCATCTATCCCAAAGTCTTCTGCCAATATTGTTTTTTTCTTTAACAATTTAAAATGTTTTTCTAGGAAGTTAGAAATCTCCATTAGGACTTTTTAAGCCTCACACACAAAGTAGAATAATTAAAGCTAATGGTAAATGAGAACCCTTCCCTCTGAAATCCAGTAAGTATAAAACTAATTTATTTCAGTTCAAAATGCAACAGTACAAGCACAAAGGAAACCATAGCCAAAAACTGTCTCTGAGATTTAAATGACAATCCTGACTTGTGGTCATTCTTCTGCTTTTTGGTGTACAAGTCAAATCCTGTTATAACACTGTTCCAGTGTTGGAGAAGAGGGTTTGAAAGGAAATAAGGGTCTGAAGCAGATAGACTGAGGACAGAAAGCCTGAAAGTCTAAGAGGCTCCCTCTGGCTTATATATCAAAACTCTATTGCTAACAGCATTACTCTAAAGAGCTCTTGGGCATTTGTCTGGAAGCCTCTGTGAAGATAATCCATACTTTTTCATTAGGAGGGAGAATGGGATTTGGTCCAATATACTTAGCAGGAGGGACTGCCATTCCACATTTTTCTGCAGAAACCACCCAGGATTTCTGGGAAGGATAAAATGTACAACACTAATATGAAAAGAGAACTATAAGAAGGCAATTCCCCTACAGAATCTGTTGACCTAACATTTTCTTTCAAACCTTTTAGAATAATGTTATCAAGTCACAAGGTTGACTGCACGACATGACATTGAATTTTCTCCTTTGCACCTCTGCAAAGAAAAACAAAATAAGGGCTGAGATAATTATAAAAAATTGTCTATTACCTGACAGACAGGATGTGCAGCTTTGTCCATTGCTTCTAGCCACCTGAAAAAGAGTAAAATGAGAGCAACTTTTCTTAAAAAGTATAGAGTAAGGTTTTCCATTAAAGTCTTACACCAATGCATCATTGTGGAAAAAACAGTGACCATGGGTTCTTTTTTTTTTGCATTTCAAAAAATATTTTATTTTCAGATCATTCTTTCTCGCCCTCTTCCTTCTCCTCTTCTTTGCTTCCTACATTTAGAAAGCAAGAAAAAACTGTTACAAACATGCATAGTCAAGCAAGATATTGATCGTGTCCAGAAAAAAAAAAGTCTCAATCATCACTCTGAATTCATCATATGTCTCTCTGGAGCTGGGTGGAAGTGGGTAGTAGGTTTCATCATGGAAGTCCCCTGGGGCTGTGGTTGTAACTGTGGGTTCTTAAAGACTATATATAGTAGCATGGATTAAACTCTGCCAGGTAGTACAATGTTGGAACGCCTCTGAGTATCCTTCCAGTGACAGACTGTGTATGTGTTGTCTATGAATTGGTCCAGATAAGGGCAGGGGACTTTTCATGATGGGGTTAGTCACAGGGGTTAAGGTTTATTTTCATCCACAGCAACTCAAGGACAGTGTGTACTAAGAGAGATTATGATCAGCATCCATGGAGAGACTATTCATGCTGAAAAAAATTATGAATGCTCTAAGTATGTAATAAAGTTGAAGAATTCTGTTAACTTGCTGAAATCCATCGTTCAAATAGAGTAAGTGTTTCATTGAATGAAAGGAATGTTTGAGCTGAGTCTAAAAAGAAGCTAGGGATCCTATAAGTGTAAGGTTAGGAGGTATAGGAGACATCCAGGGTAAAGGCACATAAATGGAAAGCCTTCATGTGTGAGGAACAGCAAGTAAGACAGGATGGTCAGACCATAGAGTACAGGGAATGTAGTAATGTATTAAAAAGACAGGAAGGGGGTATGTTGTAAAGAGCTTTGAATGCCAAACAGAGGAATTTATATTTGAACCTAGAAGTAATAGGAAGCCATTGAAGTTTATTGACTAGAGAGGTGACATGGTCAGATCTACGATTTAGGAAAATCACCTCAGCAACTGTGTGGAGGATGACGGAGTGGGGAGACACAAGTCAAGTAGTCCAGTTAGAAAGCTAATGCAATAGTCCAGGCAGAGGTGATAAGGGCCTGAACTAGGTAACATCTAAATGATGGAAAGCTTGAATATTAGTACCATTAGATATGATTTGAAGAATGTGAACCAGCAAGTCATTATCACACCCTTTTAAAATCCATTCTGAAAGAAAAAAAAGAGTAAAAGTTATAGAGCACAAGTTGCCATGCCTTATACTGGGACAAATTTCCTGCATCTTATAATTCTGTTATTTCTTCTATTTCTAATCCCCCTGAACTAGAAAAAGACACATATAAATCAGGAGTTGGGGAAGAGGAGACAGACAGAGAGAAAGACAGAGAGAGAGAGAGAGAAACAGAGAGAGACAGAGAGAGATACAACTCTAGAAGAGAGAGACAATACAGAGAACAGAGACAGAGGACAAAGAGACACAGAGTCAGAGTGACAGAGGAGGGAGAGAGAGAAAGAGGTGAGAGAGAGAGAGAGAGAGAGAGAGAGAGAGAGAGAGAGAGAGAGAGAGAGAAAGAAGATAGAGACAGACAGAAAGAAACAGAGACAGAGATTGACAGAGGCAGAGACAGAGACAGAGAGAGACACAATTAGAAAAGAGAGAGACAACACAGAGAGGAGAGAGAGAGAGAGGAGAAAGAGACATGGAGTCAGAGTGACAGGAGGGAGAGAGAGAAAGAGGTGAGAGAGAGAGAGAGAGAGAGATAGAGAGACAGGGAGACAACCAGAGAAGAGAGAGAAAGGACAGAGAAGATAAACAGAGACAGAGACAGGGTGATAGAGAAAAGAGAGACAAAGAGACAGAGAGAGAGGCAGAGAGAGACAGAGAAAAAGAGACAGAGAGACAGAGAAGAGAGATAACAGAAGAGAGAGAAAGAGACAAATACAGACAGAGACGGAGACACAGAAACCAGTGAGTGAGTGAAATGAATTGATTACCTTTTCATCTCTTGGTTTGAGGTGGCACAGAGGCAAAAAGTCCTGGTTCCAGATTGGGGCACACATTTAAACACAAATGGTTTGCCCAAGCTGCTGTCTATTTCAATTTCTGCACCTTCTAATTTTGTTACATCCAGTGGCCGACATTTTCCTTCATCCTGTAATCAATACAGCAAAAACTGAGTAGCAGGATTTGTTGTTGTTCACTCATTTCAGTCATGTCTGAGTCTTCATAACCCCATTTGGGACTTTGTTGGCGAAGGTACTGGAGTGGTTTGCCATTTTCTTATCCAGCTCGTTTTACATATGAAGAAACTGAGGCAAGGAGGGTGAAGTGACTTGTTCAGGGTCACACAGCTAATAAATGTCCAAGGCTGGATTTGAACTCAGGTCTTCTAATTCTAGGCTCTGCCCTCTATCCACTATGCCACTTTGCTGCCCTGAGTAGCAGGATACTTTGAGGCTAAGAAATTAAGAATCAAGAAAACATAAAATCACAGAATTTCAGGCTTGGAAAGAATGTCAGCAGCCAACTAGTCTAACCCATACCTGAGAAGAAGCTCCCACTGTGATATTCCCACCAAGTAGTCATCTAGTTTTTGCTAAACGGCCTCAATTAACAGGGAGCTCACTACCTCTTAAGACTGCCCATTTCCCTTTCAAATGTAAAAGTTTTTCCTTTTACATTAAGCCTAAATTTGCCTTTTCATTTCCACATCACTTTTAGGTAATCCCTGTTAAGGTCTATTTGATTTATAAATTGTTACTACTTACTACATGGTTAAGTCAATCCCCTTCTCTGTACCTCACTTCATTTATCTGTAAAATAGGGGGATTGAATTTAGTTCCTTCCCAATTCTGAATCTCAGAAACATATAAAAAGCCACTTTATAACACTATTATTAAATTTTTCTTGCTAGAAAAATAAAACATTAACAATTTTTGATATATGGTTATCAATAGTGCACAGATAAGGAACTTTTTTTTAATAAAAGACTGTCTTAATAATAGTATAATATGAATTATACAAACTAAGGTACTATAAATAGTTCATAAATATTTTCCTTATAATAATTTATTTCAATTCAATATTTAATAAGCTGATCATCTTTTCTGGTATACATTTCATAGTTTCCTTTTATCAACAAAAATTCTTAGAAGGAAAGTATTACAGGAAATTAAGAATGTAGAATGTCTATTACTTATGCATCCAAGGATGCTTTATAAATGAGACCTAATTAGTCTTAAAATACATATAATAATGAAAATATAGGATATTTATACATAGAGTACATATTAATATTTAAATGTAGCCATCTTAAATCAATTATATTGTATGCATAAGCAAGATTCATCTAGTGCATGTAGTCTCCTATTTATACATTGGTTGTGTTCCAAAAATTCAGGTGTAAATCAGTTGTTTGTAACTAAAAAAAAATTTTTTTTCTCCTTAGAATTAACATTATACATACTTTTTAGGAGACCAGACTATTCTACAATTTAATCCTTAATGTTAATGTTTCCAATTAAAAAGTTGCTAGAAAATATTTTTGCAAATTAGTGCAACATCTATATTATTGCAAATTACATAGTGTTGCCAACATTATTGCAAATATATTATTTATAATGCTTTGTATTTCATTGGACTTTTAGCGATTGGCAACCTTGCAAGGTAGTGAGGTATAGTGGGAAAGGTATAAACAGAAGATCTTGAGTGACTCTGTGGCTTATTAGTTATGTGATTTTGGGTGATCGAGTTCATTTCTCAGGGACTTAGTGACCTCATTTGTAAAATGAGAGGATTAGACAATTATCCCTAAGTGTTCTTGCAGTTCTGAAATTCAATGTTTTTGCAACCAACATTTACCCTTTTAGAATTAGCCATAATATAGTTCAAAGAGTCCTGGGTTAGGAATTAGGAGACGTGGGTTGGATTCTCAGCTGTCACTTAAAGGCTGGACGACCTTGGCCAAGCCACTTAGAGGAAAAGGTAGGGAACAAGCATTTATTAAGCATAAACTATGTGCCAGGCACTGTACTGAGTGCTTTACAAATATTATCTTTTTTGATCTTCACAAAAACCCTGTGAGGTAGGTGCTCTTATTACTCCCTTCCCATTGTACAACTGAGGAAACTGAGGCAGAGAGAAGTTATAAGCTTGACTTCAATTCTTGATAAAATCATTGGGCATCTAGAAAAGGAAGTGTTGATCACAAAGAGTCAATTTGGCTTCATACAGAATAAATCATGCCATGGTGTGTAGGATGTTGTATATGCTGTCAGAAATAGTTGGTTGTACTGATGGTTTTATAGAATTATTATTTTTTTTCTTTTCAATCTTTGTTATAAGGGAGGGTTTGCCGGGTAAAATGTGGAAAGAGAGCAAATAGCACCTATAAAACTTTTGTTTTAAAGAACAGATTTTGCCAGATTAATAATATTTCCTTTTATTTATTTTTTGGATAGGGTTACTGTTTTGGTTAACCAGGTGAAAGCTATAGCTAGAATTCACCTAGATTTTAACAATGTATTTGTCAAAATCTCCTTTGCTATTCTTGTTGAAAAAAAAATGGAGATAAATGAGCTAGACAAGAGTATAATTAGATAAAGTGAGAAATTATTAAATTGCTAGGTCAGAAAAAAACCCTATTAATGGTTCAATTTTAATTTGCATAGAGATCTCTAGTGGAGTACCCCAGGATTCTGTGCCTTAATACTTTTTTTAAAAAAATCAGTGACATAGACAAAGGCATATATGATATGCTTTCTAATTTTCAGATGGCACACAGCAGAGAGAGATAGCTTACATGCTCATTGAAACAATTTTGATATTAGGACAAATCTAATCAGAATAAAATTAATAAGGATATATTTGAGACTACTTCTTTTTGTTTTATGAGGTGCTACTATTCATGATGTTCCACAGTAGACTGGAGTTGCCTTTGGCTACCATATCCTATAACCAAAGACATCTTGGAAGAAAATGGTTCACGTCAGCCATGATGCTTCCTCTATTAGCTAGCATGCTGTGTGGTTGCCAACATCTATGTAACCGCTTGTTTTTGTTCAGCTCCTCTCCCTAGTATTGACTACTCTACACAACTGAAGTACTCCATGTCTCAGCAGTCAGTCAGTGACACATTTATTAAGCTACCATGTGCCAGGTACTATGCTAAGTACTGGGGATGCAAAGAAAGGCAAAAACACCATCTCTGCCCTCAAAGACCATATATTCTAATGGGGTTGATAATATAGAAACAATAAGGTATATACAAGATATATATATAGAGAGAGAGTAGGTGGAAGGTAATCTGAATTGGAAAGATGGAACAAAGGAAAGAATGATGCAAGCAAGGAAGAAAGCATTTATTAAACACTTACTATGTGTCAGGTACTGTGCTAAGTGCTGGGAATACAAATACAAACAAAATGAAAGACAGTGCCTCCCCTACACAAAAGAGAATTGAAAAGTAAGGGTAGGGTCTGGAGATGAAGGTACCCAGCCTAAGGATATGGTTTTGAAATCCAGAGAGTGAGGAAAAGGTGCTGGAGGGAAATGAAGGCAGACTGGCTGGGGCCCCTCCACAAAATTGAGGCTCCAGAAAAAACTCACCAATGGAAGAAGGGGTGAGGGTGAGTCTTACAGAGGGATATTTCATGCTGAGAAGACTGGTTATTTAGGAGGCCCTAGGCTCTAAGGAATTTCTAGGATGAGACAGCAATAGAGGCATGGTTTGGAAGTCCAGAATGTCAGGAAAGGAAGGTATTAGGTACAGGTAAGGAAGATATTAGTGAGAGAAATGATTATTTCTCTCTTATGTTCATAACCAATTATTGAATAAGGACTAAGGTTTTTCCCTCTTTCTATTTCCTTATTCTGAAATCAGCCCCTGTAGGTTATCCAACAAGCCTTTGAAGGGAGGGGCTGATGATAAAATGAAATATTGGGCAAGACACCCAATTGGTGAAACTTGGATCTGATCAAAAGGTAAAGGAATTCTAATCTAGGGAAAGTGTTGAATTCTGGCCCATTGTGTTTTAGTCAGACAAGTCTGAGTGGAAATGGATTCCTCCTTTTGTCTAGATTATCCTAGGGGTGGTATGGGTATAGTCTCTTTGTCTGAGACTGAGTGATCAGAGTCAAGTGCCCCAGACTCTCATTATAGTAAGCCCACCTCTAATTATAATATTCATTCTCTCATTAAGTGTTAACCAATCAGAGTTTATTTCCACTCTTAGGAACACCCATTCTACCAAGGGTAAAGATAGTCAAATGACCTTTTTATTAGTTATCCACTAGCCACAATTAATAAAATGGTTATTAATTACTCAGAAATTATGTCTCCCAAACTTTTTATATGTCACATTAAGAACTGGGAATGGGGGAGGACAGGGAAAGATTTCTTTTTATAGGTGGAATTTAAGCCGAGTCTTGAGGGAGGTCAGGGAAACTAAGGTGAAGAGGTGAGGGGAACCTTGACAGAGAACCTGGACTTTGATCTGTTCAGGTAAATGCTGTAAATTTAGGAATTCTGCAAATAGCCTACCTATCTGATTGTACTTTATACCAAGAAAATAGTTTATTTACCAGTAGTGAATTCACTCCAGTTCACTCTCCTGAAGCCAGGCTGGCTATACCTGCCCTTCTGGGTACTAGAACACTATGAGAGGTTTTAGGTTTCTCTTTTTTCTACTGCCTTTGGCTCAATCCTTATTGGCTATGTCTCTTTTCTAATGCTATTGCCTTAACTCCACATTGTTGGATACCATTGAGTAGCTCTCCAGTTCCATGAAACCACTTAATATCAATTAGCTTTTACAAAGGGATATTTACTTCACAAATATAACAAACATTTCCCTTAAAATTTGGGGGCAGGGGAACACTCTCTTCTCTATACTAACTTGGTCTTTAGGAAGGTAATAAGCCCAATTTAGCATCGTTCATACATCGTATTGGTCCCACCAAGTTTATGTCCATCGGTAGTATTGCTGCTGGATGAATCTTTGTCATAACTACTGTCAGACTAGATTCTGAAGGTTCCTCCTCTCTCCTTAGGGCAATGATGCTGTATAGACTTCAAATATAGACACTAAAATGCCATGGTACTATGGTACTGCTTCTGACCTTTTGAAATTCACAGCATCCAGAGTTCTGCTT